ATCGTGGTCACAAATGACTGTAAGGACACGTGGCTGGGTTTATAGGTCAGGTGATCTGTGGGACCCTCTAAAACCTATAATGCACACCAAGAAAACATAGTGAGTCAGAACAATTCTCTACGAATTGTAGTAAATTGAAGAATGTATAACAACATTTAGGCAAAAAAATAAATAAAAAATTTGCTAAAAACAATTCTCCAACCCCGCTTTAATAATAATAGTGTAACCATTTCAACCTGAATTTAGCAAAATGGCTTTTGTTTCAATGCAATTCATTATTAAGAAATCAGTCAGTGTTCATATTCAGAATCAGATTCTTCAAAATTCTTTTTTAAATAGTTTATCCTAAATGTTTCTTTAAGTCTGTAATAAAGACTGATCACTGAACCCTGCAGCTCTCCATAGACTGAATACTGAACCCTGCAGCTCTCCATAGACTGAATACCGAACCCTGCAGCTCTCCATAGACTGAATACTGAACTCTGCAGCTCTCCATAGACTGATCGCTGAACCATAGACTGAACGCTGCAGCTCTCCATAGACTGAATACTGAGCCCTGCAGCTCTCCATAGACTGAGCACTGAACCCTGCAGCTCTCCATAGACTGAACACTGAACACTGCAGCTCTCCATAGACTGAACACTGAACCCTGCAGCTCTCCATAGACTGAGCACTGAACCCTGCAGCTCTCCATAGACTGAATACTGAACCCTGCAGCTCTCCATAGAGACTGAACCCTGCAGCTCTCCATAGACTGAATACTGAACCTCTGCAGCTCTCCATAGACTGAATACTGAACCCTGCAGCTCTCCATAGACTGAATACTGAGCCCTGCAGCTCTCCATAGACTGAACACTGAACCCTGCAGCTCTCCATAGACTAAATACTGAACCCTGCAGCTCTCCATAGACTGAATACTAAACCCAGCAGCTCTCCATAGACTGAGCACTGAACCCTGCAGCTCTCCATAGACTGAACACTGAACCTGCAGCTCTCCATAGACTGAAGCACTGAACCCTGCAGCTCTCCATAGACTGAATACTGAACCCTGCAGCTCTCCATAGACTGAACACTGAACACTGCAGCTCTCCATAGACTGAATACTGAACCCTGCAGCTCTCCATAGACTGAATACTGAACCCTGCAGCTCTCCATAGACTGAATACTGAGCCCTGCAGCTCTCCATAGACTGAGCACTGAACCCTGCAGCTCTCCATAGACTGAATACTGAACTCTGCAGCTCTCCATAGACTGAATACCGAACCCTGCAGCTCTCCATAGACTGAATACTGAACCCTGCAGCTCTCCATAGACTGAATACTGAACTCTGCAGCTCTCCATAGACTGAATACTGAACCCTGCAGCTCTCCATAGACTGAATACTGAACCCTGCAGCTCTCCGTAGACTGAGCACTGAACCCTGCAGCTCTCCATAGACTGAATACCGAACCCTGCAGCTCTCCATAGACTGAATACTGAACTCTGCAGCTCTCCATAGACTGATCACTGAACCATATACTGAACGCTGCAGCTCTCCATTGACTGAGCACTGAACCCTGCAGCTCTCCATAGACCAAATACTGAACCCTGCAGCTCTCCATAGACTGAACACTTAACCCTGCAGCTCTCCATAGACTGAGCACTGAACCCTGCAGCTCTCCATAGACTGAATACTGAACCCTGCAGCTCTCCATAGACTGAATACTGAACTCTGCAGCTCTCCATAGACTGATCACTGAACCATATACTGAACGCTGCAGCTCTCCATAGACTGAGCACTGAACCCTGCAGCTCTCCATAGACTGAACACTTAACCCTGCAGCTCTCCATAGACTGAACACTTAACCCTGCAGCTCTCCATAGACTGAGCACTGAACCCTGCATCTCTCCATAGACTGAATACTGAACCCTGTAGCTCTCCATAAACTGAATACTGAACCCTGCAGCTCTCCATAGACCAAATACTGAACCCTGCAGCTCTCCATAGACTGAACACTTAACCCTGCAGCTCTCCATAGACTGAACATTGAAACGTGCAGCTCTCCATAGACTGAACATTGAACCGTGCAGCTCTCCATCGACTGAACATTGAACCGTGCAGCTCTCCATAGACTGAATACTGAACCCTGCAGCTCTCCATAGACCGAACACTGAACCCCACCAGCTCTCCATAGACTGAATACTGGACCCTGCAGCTCTCCATAGATTGAATACTGAACCCTGCAGCTCTCCATAGACTGAACACTGAACCCTGCAGCTCTCCATAGACTGAACACTGAACCTTGCAGCTCTCCATAGACTAAACACTAGACTAAACACTGAACCCTGCAGCTCTCCATAGACTGAATACTGAACCCTGCAGCTCTCCATATACTGAACCCTGCAGCTCTCCATAGACTGAATACTGAACCCTGCAGCTCTCCATAGACTGAACATTAAACCCTGCAGCTCTCCATAGACTGAATACTGAACCCTGCAGCTCTCCATAGACTGAATACTGAACCCTGTAGCTCTCCATAGACTGAATACTGAACCCATTAGCTCTTCATAGACTGATCACTGAACCCTGCAGCTCTCCATAGACAACCCTGCAGCTCTCAATAGACTGAACCCTGAACCCTGCAGCCCTCCATAGACTGAATACTGAACCCTGCAGCGATCCATAGACTGAACCATGAACCCTGCAGCTCTCCATTGACTGAATACTGAACTCTGCAGCTCTCCACAGACTGAATACTGAACCCTGCAGCTCTCAGACTGAATACTGAACCCATTAGCTCTTCATACACTGATCACTGAACCCTGCAGCTCTCCATAGACAACCCTGCAGCTCTCAATAGATTGAACCCTGAACCCTGCAGCCCTCCATAGACTGAATACTGAACCCTGCAGCGATCCATAGACTGAACCATGAACCCTGCAGCTCTCATAGACCAAACCCTGCAGCTCTCCATTGACTGAATACTGAGCCCTGCAGCTCTCCATAGACTGAACACTGAACCCTGCAGCTCTTCATAGACTGAACACTGAACCCTGCAGCTCTCCATAGACTGAACACTGAACCCTGCAGCTCTCCATAGACTGAACACTGAACCCTGCAGCTCTCCATAGACTGAACACTGAACCCTGCAGCTCTCCATTGACTGAATACTGAACCCTGCAGCTCTCCATAGACTGAATACTGAATTGTGACGGGTCGAAGCTGGTGATTTGTAGAGTTTAATTTTGACGCACTCTCACGTTCAGAGAATGACAGAATTGCTGGAGTCTTGATTATTTTGTGAGGGACGCAGAGCTATGGGGAGCTCAGTGCTGATGTACTAAGCAGGGATAATTTGTGAAGATTTTATTCTGAGTCCCAGTATCACCCTGCTGTTAATAAGCAGCTTCTTTAGACCATTTGCATTGGGAGGGGCCAGCAACATGTGTCAGTATTGATAATTTAATATTAATGCAATATATAAATTAATTAAAGTATAAATTATCTTGTGTGCATTCACTGAGAGTTTATTGACCTCCTGGCTCAGTAGTGTTTCTTCAATCTTTTAATTTATCTTGTTCTGCACATTAAACAAAAACGAACATCCCAATTATAGAGCGCTGCCTACACACGTCCCTCACCCGCGCCGCGAGCTATAATCTTTGTCTGTGACAGTCTCCAATGTTATCCCATTTACCATCCTACACCCAGGGTGTGGTCTTCAGAAACTGATGAGATGCCAGCTTAATATTACTCGCACACATGTTTAACACGGGCAATAAAACAATTAGAGAGCATGCTATTAAATCTGTGCATGTTCCTGCCTCACCTGTTCCCAGCACTGCACATGTCCCAATCACCTGTCTCTGGGAGAGGATCCCTGACATTTGGCAAAGATGTATAGTGTGCAGGAAGCATACCTCCCAAGTGTCCCTATGTGGGAAGGACAGTCCTTATTTTGGGCCCAAATCCCTCTGTCCCTCTTTTCTAGAAGCTCCATATTACTGGTGTATCTGAGTGTATAACAGAGCTCCACTGCATTAATACTCCCAGCAGGGCCGGCCTGTCCATAGGCAAGACTGGGGTCATGGCTTCAGGCAGCCCAGTCGTTTGGAGCCCAGGCCACCTCTACTGCATATATATATGCAGCAAAAGTGGCTCTCTAATCATTGAGGCAGACTGATCTGTCGATCTATCGGTCTGTGACCGAGGACCCGACGCCGGTTGCATCCCCTCCTCTCAGTCTGCCCTGACTGAGGGCTTCCTATCTGCAGCTCAGCCGGGTGCAGAGCTGCAGACTGTGTGATGGAGGTCTCTCGAGCAACGCTCTGACCGGAGCTCATGAGAACTCGAGCAATGTGGTCTGCAGCTCACACCCGGCGGAGCCGCAGACCGGATAGAGATCCCACTGGATCACCAGAGAAATGGTATGTCAAAGTGGGAAGGCTTATCACAGCCTCCCCTCCCACAGCCAGCACCCCTTTCTTCCCACCAAACAACCTGTACAACCCCACCCCCTGCACTCCCACACCATACTCCCCCACAGTCTGTCCCCCACACCATGTCTTTCACAGCCTGGTCCACCACTGCCTGTCCCCCCACAGATTCCCCACTCCCTGATCTCCCACAGCCTGCACACCCACACTGTCACAACAATAATACTCCCAGTAATGTTTCTGAGTGTATAACAGAGCTCCACAGCACTAATACTCCCAGTAATGTGTCTGAGTGTATAACAGAGCTCCGCAGCAATAATACTCCCAGTAATGAGTCTGAGTGTATAACAGAGCTCCACAGCAATAATACTCCCAGTAATATGTCTGTGTATAACAGAGCCCCACAGCAATAATACTTCCAGTGATGTGTCTGAGTGTATAACAGAGCTCCACAGCAATAATACTCCCAGTAATGTGCCTGAGTGTATAACAGAGCTCCACAGCAATAATACTCCCAGTAATGTGTCTGAGTGTAAGACAGAGCTCCACAGCAATAATACTCCCAGTAATGTGTCTGAGTGTATAACAGAGCTCCACAGCAATAATACTCCCAGTAATGTTTATCAGTGTATAACAGAGCTACACATTACTGGGAGTATTATTGCTGTGGAGCTCTGTTATAATACTCCCAGTAATGTGTCTGTGTGTATAACAGAGCTCCACAGCAATAATACTCCCAGTAATGTGTCTGAGTGTATAACAGAGCTCCACAGCTATAATACTCCCAGTAATGTGTCTGAGTGTATAACAGAACTCCACAGCAATAATACTCTCAGTAATGTGTCTGAGTGTATAGCAGAGCTCTTCAGCAATAATACTCCCAGTAATGTGTCTGAGTGTATAACAGAGCTCCACAGCAATAATACTCCCAGTAATGTCTGAGTGTATAACAGAGCTCCACAGCAATAATACTCCCAGTAATGTGTCTGAGTGTATAACAGAGCTCCACAGCAATAATACTCCCAGTAATGTGTCTGAGTGTATAACAGAGCCCCACGGCAATAATACTCCCAGTAATGTGTCTGAATGTATAACAGAGCTCCACAGTAATAATACTCCCAGTATTAGAAATCAGTCTGTGTAAATAAGATACATTGTTCTTCTTCTAAATTACATTTTAGTTACATAGTGCTCATGAGGTCACTTAAAAGTGCCCCCAAATAACCCCACCCCTGAACAGACCCTATAAACTGAAAGTGTCCCTCTGTGGCCATCGCTGGGAGGTAAGAGGTAGCCATGGGAATGCACATCTTAAGGTAAAAGGTTACTCCAATCACCATGACCTCTTTTGCTTTGGTTATGGTGGTTGGAGTCTGTGTGCAGTATTTCTGCTTGAAACTTTGCACATACAGAAATATTTGCACTTTTGTGTTGGGGGCTAGCTACACGCCTCATACATGACTCAGAAAACCGGAATTCTGTTCCAGACTGCCAGATATCCATTCTGTGTAAATATATGTCGTCAGGTCGAGTGTCCCCTCCTCCCTGTCACGGTGCCCGATCAGCACCTTAGTGTGACCGCACCAGATCAATGCGGTCACACCATCACAGTGCCCGATCGGCACCGCGATGTCACCGCATCTGATTGGTGCGGTCACACTAAAGGAGGGAGAGGTTACTCCCCTTACCTCTAGCGCCTCTCCCTTCATGCAGCTCCTAATACAGCGGCTGGGTCCAGCGTTAGGAATGACGTCACTAGTGACGTAAACGTGCGTGATGTGTTGCGTTTTTGCCGTGCACGCACGTTCTGGGGTCATGGGACCCAAATCAGCCATTAGCAGGATGGCCTTGCCATGGTTTCCATCCTGTTGGTTATCCGAGAGTGCGTTCCTAATTCTGGTTATTGATCTTGGCTTGGTGTGACTTCCCGTATTTCTGGTATCCCTGACCCTTTAGCTTTGTCCTTACCGTATTTGTTCCTTTCTGTATTCCTGATCTCGGCTTGTGACTGGTTATTCTATTACGTTAAATCCGGCCATTCTAAAGCCCGGTAATACGTCGTTACTGTTTGTTATTTGTTGCGTTTATATCCCACCTCTTGTTCACCCCCTACTGTCTCCCCTCCCGATTCTGGGTGTGTACAGGTGCTCTGTGTTTGTAAAACAGTCCAATCAAACACTTCTCTATGAAAAACCATTTAATTTGACCTCGCAAGGGAGGCTTGACACCGACTAGTATTTTAATAAGATAATCAGTAAATGCTAAATATGTAAAGATTCTATATTATATTAATTATATTAATTAGATATTAATTGCCAGGACCCCTTATTATCAGCAGTCACTGCAGAAGGAAAAAGCTAACGATGCCACATTAAATAATATCATGTTCAGAGCTGTAATTGGAATGAAAAGCTGTAATTAGTAATAATCTTTCAACGTGTAATGTCGTTACCAGCCCTTTCAAGATGGAATTTAATGGTCTTGTAAAATTCTGAGAAATATAACGTCCGCAATCTGCATTGTACACAGGGTGTCACAGGGAGGTAATGGGCATTAAAGGGGTTCATTGCAATCTCTACAGTGGGATTGTTATATGTGTGAGGGGAACAGGCAATTATCAAAAAATAGGGATGTGCATGGGGAAAATTTTCGGTTCGGCATTCCGAAATTCGGGGGTTTGGCAATTCGGAACTTCGGCACTTCGGTTCCGTTCGGCACTTTGGCATTTCGGGACTTCTCTTGCAGCCGCTTAGTAGACAGCTCCCTAATTCCCACGGTATTAGGGAGTTATGTACCAAAAGGCTGAAAGACCTAAATTGGTCTTTCAACCAAATTTACTAATACTAAGTAAAAATTACTTAGTATTAGTACATTTTGCCCCTACTCGCTATACCACGAGTAGGGGCATGTCTAGTAAACAGTGATTAGCCTTTGGCTGCTAACTGTTTAAAAAAAAAAATGCCCCCCCCCTCCCGAGCCCCCACCCATACCGAGTGAGTGGGGGCTTTTAAACTAAAGGGGGGACATATGCTCTGATGGCTGATCCTTTCTTTGAACCCAATCTTTCTTCTAATCTTTGATTATTGATAATCTGTGAGTGGGTATAATCTATGAACGCTAATTCTGGGCGCCAGTCGTATATGATAGAATTTTATTCTGAACACACTTACAGTGAACTTGCTTTGAGATCTTTAATCTAATGTAATGTTTCCAAGCTCACAACGACCCTTTTCAATCTGGTAACCACAAGTCAAATAGTCCATATCAGGGCTCCAAACTCCCAGTTGTATGCTGCTAGGTGAGTGTAAAAGTTTACTTGCCAGTGGCTAACGGGCGAGTGGAAATTTTGAGCGTTGGTCGATGCATCAACCTGCACAAACATTGCTAAAAATCATCTCCCGGATTATTATGTCTTGCAGTGCTAATGGTGTTAGGAAATGCAGAGAATTTCAATATTTCAGGGTGCTAAACAGAGAAGTTTGGAGAGTTGACATACAAATTCAGAAATTGAAACCAAAAATAGTGTAACTGGAAAAAAAATCCTTCAAACACAGTTATCTCGTCCTCCAGCGTGGAGTTAACAAGATTCACCTAACTGGAACTAAATGGACGGTTCAAGGAAAACCTGACATAGTACGAGGCTCCTGAGAGAATAAAGTGTCAGCCAACGCTGCTATCCCGGCGCAGCGATTAAAGTGGATTTAATGGTTTCCAGTTAAAGTTAATAAAACAGACACAGTTTGTTTAGTCTGCAGTTTGTTGGCCCCACGTGTAACATACAGAAACACAAATAGAATTACTTTTTCGGATTGTTTTGGCTGGGTATTTGGTTATATAAGGTGGAGTTGCCCTGAGGAGAACAGGCTAATGTTACATAAAACGTTAAGCTAATCACTGCCTTGATAAATATCCCTAGCTGTCCAACTCAAGGCTCCATGTCAATACAAGCAAGCCGTGCTGTGGCTTTTACAGTGCTGTTTAGGAATGTCACCTGCATGTGCAACTAGCTGTAGGAGTAGTCATTACACTGCACCTCCAACAAGCCATGAAAAGGAGAGTTTGACAACCTTTGTAAATCCACAGACCTGATGCAAAGTGATAGTAAATAAATGTAAAACAGCTTTACATTTCATATAGTGATCTTATAAAAAATGTGAAATGCAAGCTCCCATAATTCCCAGCCAGCAGACATCTGAGTGAATATCACAGCTTTCAGAAACATATTAGACCTTCACTCTATCCTGGACTCGTGCCATTTATTATTCAAACACCTGCTGTCTGTCCCAGTTTAACCATATGATATAGAGTGCAAGCTCTATGAACCTTTTTTAATTTAGAGCATTTTGCTATGTTTGTATGTAGCAGGCCATGCGACTGCCCAGGAGTGATAAGAGTTTAAGATCCAATATATGTTTGTATTTGATTTTGTATATCGCAGCCATGTTACGGTGCATCCACTTACTCCACGTAATCTCTATATAGTGTTAATTCGACAGACTGTAATTAATCAATCTACAACATGTTAAGTGAATATCGTAAATAGAGATTTATTGTGTCAGGAGACCTGCGAGTCTCAATCACTTTTGCATCCTCAGAGATCTGCGCATCTCAAGACCTCAAACGAGATTCTAACTGATTGAAACCTGCGTGTTTCGCACTGCTCATAACCTCACTGCGAATTGTTCACCTCGCAAACTCTTTAATAAAACGATATTTAAATAAGATATTATTACCTAAATAATATATAGTGTTAATTCATGTCTGGGTTTGTATAACGCTAGTGTATAGGGTGTTGGCAGGGGAGCTTACACTGAGCAGCCATGCAGTTGTACTGAAACCTTCATTTAAATCATTATCCTCTGGGTTTGACCAGGATTTCCCCCCTTTCCATCCCTCCCCCCATGGCCCATTCTTTTATTGATCAACGTGGACTCCAGGCTGGCAAGCTACTTCTAAACGTTCACTGACAGCCTCTTTAACCCTTTCCACTCACAACAAAACACAAATGTCTGGGAGTCACGTGCGCCTCAGCGAGTGTCTTCCTAAAGTAAGAGTTTGGAAGAAAACAGATGTTGTCATCCTGTCTCTCCATGATGTTAAGCGCTGCCAACGCCTTGGGATTGCTGCCAGGAATTTTTACGGATTCATTGTGTTGTGCAGAGAGTGCCGCAGGCTCCCATACGGTGGCCCTTTTAAGGTAGTTTTTTTACCAGCCACGTGATTGATCCTCTTCATAAGCCCAGGTTGCTTGTTACAATGTATTGGAGTTCAGGTGGGGCCGCTCTATGTGAAATTAAAGGCTGCGTATCTGCCAGGATTGGTTGTGGGTGATGTCATCAAATCGCACTTTGCAACCATGAGCAATAATATAAACACATTGTGTGCGTTCAGAAAATCCAGTAAATCCGTTTACTGACATCCAGGAAATATTTACCATCAACATGGGCGTTCGTAACTCGGAGGGTTAATGGAGACATGTCCTGAAATATATAAATCTGTATTCCCAATGCTATAGTGTCCCTCTCAGTACTGCTTTCTATGTACCCCCAGCCCAGGTGTCATAAACATGCACACAATGTCTTTTCTCTGAAAAGGCAGTGTGTTTACATTAAAAAGCCTGCAGGGACCGGCTAGACACCTGAACCACTACATTAAGCTGTAGTGGTTCTGGTGACTA